CATTGCCATCGATTTTCGGTGCGTGCAGGCTCCATTTAATGCCATTTAATGCTGTGCTTCTTTCAATTAACACAAGATATGTAAGTATACATATATTCATTATTCTAGGTGGCTTTCGCATCAAACTTCGGACCGCCGTGAGAAGGTTGGACTATGCCACTCACTGTGTGACGCGAAACAAACAATGAGACTGCATGAGCACACCGGACATGGAGAAAGATCAGCTTGATTTTGTGTCTTCTATATTTGCATGGTGTAAGATCAGCTTGTGAACCATCACGCTGGCTTCTCGCACACTCAGTGGTTCAAAGCCCCACGTGCCGCACCCATCACCTGATCGGTCACCAACCATGTGCACCATTGAGAAGATTGAGAATATCACCCTTCGTGGCAGGTGGGACTTTGGGAACATCGCGGTGGTTGGTACATACAGGGGATTTGCCTGGGATCATTGCATTGATACAGATGCAAAAATATATGAACATAGGAAGGGATTGCCCCTTCAAAGGGCCTTCTTTCATCTTTACTTTTCTTCTTTATTTCTGACATGTTATTTCGTTTTCTTTACACACCTTTGCTCTTCAAGTCTGTGTTGACTGTTGATGGATGAGCAGTAGCAGCGTAGCGTTTTTTCGCCACCAGGAGGAGGAGTGTCACAGCAGACACCGTGTCGAGCCTATTGATGGCTGCAGCCAAGAGCAGTGCCGAAGCACCAAGTCGCGCACTGAAGCGACGTGTGCGCCAGCGGTTGCACAAAAAGCTGGGCTGCATGCTGGGTCAAAAAGACTTTGAAAAGGTGGGGAGGGAAGGGCGACAAGGGCGACAAGGGCGACAAGGGCGCCAGGAGAGCTGGAACAAGAGCCACACGATATTACACATGGCCTTTCCTACTTATGCAAGTTTTCATCGTTAGCTCAACGCACAGCGCATATGAACAGAGAGAGTTTTCATTGTGCTGCCATTTCCGCCCACTAAAGGACACCGAGAAACGGCAGAAAAGCTGAATGGCGAATGCACAAAAAACGAACCCGGACCCTGATTCTCAACGCACCGGGTCATTAGAAGATAGGACACAAACCAGTCCGCTTCGACAATAGATGCGTGAGGCAATGAACCAGTTCAAGATGATGGAAGAGTCCTGGCTGCACGGTTAGCAGAAGCTGCCAGACCTGCAAGATCCTGGTGTTTGGATGGTCTCTGTGAGGTGTTCGGTCATGCATCGAGCTGTGGATGTAGCATGTAGGCAAATGACGGGCTCATGCAAAGCGTGACTAAGACACGAGCCAATCTGAAACTATGTTTTGCCACATGCCAGACACCACTTGTACAAATAACCGATCGATTGCTTGTGCAAGCTGTCAGATTCAACTTGCTGCTTCCTTGTTGCGAATCAGCAGTTCCAAGGTAGCAACGGCTTTTCCGACATCAACATTGGTGGAATGGGAATGCATGGGAATGAATTGGATCCATTTACATACCATGTTGCATTACATTCTTTGCGATGATTGGCAGTGATGATGAGAAGGGTACAGTGCAATGAATCCAAGGATGAAGCGGCTGCTACGAACGAGGCGATGATAGAAGCTGTCGCTGCTGCTACAGTTGCTGCCCCCCAAGGATGTCACAAATGTCATCGGGGTCAACACGACAATGCCTCTCGTGACTTACCCCATTTCAACGCTTTTGCTTCCGGTGCTTGCACCTCGGCTGAAGGTGAGTCCGCCGAAGGTCCACACCCACACTCATTCAAGAACGAAGCCTGCTAAACCAAACTTGTGTTGCAAAAGTGCAGCTTTTCGTCCGGTGTGTTTGTGTCCCAAAGCCGGAATGGTGTGTTCAGGTGCCTTGGCCCGTCTCAGTGACTCCGCCCGCGCCCATTCTGAAGGACCGATTTCTTACAGAGTGCTTGAAGGTTTGTAGAATCGTAGAAAGCCATCGAGAGACTGGTATTGTCATAAGCTGATGGCTTGCATTGAATAGTAGATCTTCATTTCATTTTGCTGCTCACTGGTAGCACTTATGTAAAGAGAACAGCTGTCATAACAGTGCACTCTTCAGTCAAGTTTCTCTAGAGTTCTTTAAGTTTCGATCTCTTGATCCTTTTGAGCTTTCTGACTCTGATTGGACCAAGTGACCCAAGTACTTGCCGATCTCGGGATCAGACTCCAGAGTGCTTGAAAATGATTCGGATAGCTGTTCATTCCCTAGCAAAGTTCACTACTTATTTTGCAGTGGACATGCATTTGAGAAAAGGCTTGTTTCAGAGTCAGGACATTGCGAACAATTTCGATGATTGCGGTGCAAGTGATTGCCAAGAATCTACCAGCATGGAGGACCGCTGTGGCAAAACTGAGTCAGTGTTGGAGGGTGCATTGCACATCATATTCTGGACCAAAGAGCTTCCACTTGCTTTGCCCCCAAGGAGGACGAAGTGCAAAGCATCAGCAATCTAAGCACTGGGTGGAAGCGTATCATCTCCGAGCCGACACCGCCCATGCCGGTATCGCGCACTTTCATCCAGCCACCTGAATGCGGAGATTCAGTCGCATTTGCACCACTGACTACTGCTGTATGCACTCTTTTCCGTTCTGCAATACTTTTTTGAAAGAAGGCACTTGACTTATGCTCTCTAGACTTTGAGAATGATAGAGATCGGCACACACAACGGCCTTTGCAAGGTATGACACTCGGCAGCTGCCAACTCGCCGCAGATCTCGTTCTGTTTAAGGGGCATAGTAAAGTGTTTAAGCATTTGAAGAGTGGGAAGGTGGCCACAAAAGCGGTCGGGTAGCGCTGGTGAATCAGGCTTGATTTGTAAGAGTGAACTCATACATGTGGCTTGGTGGTCGTAGAATTGTGGGTGATGAGGCTACTTCAAATTGTTTCTGATTTGCTCAAACTACAGGCAAGCTCTACTTGACCAATGTGGTAGTACGAGTTGCAGTTTGTAGGACTGTGTCAGCTCACCAAATCACGAAAGCAAGCTCTGACACAGGTCTGCTCAATTTCATGTTTACAGGGGGAGGGTCAGAAATTATCGAATTGATTTATCACCACAAAAGCCCCCCGCACTTTGCGTGATAATTAGAATCAATTGGTGCCCCCCTGGTAACGAATTGATTTCGTGGTTGGTGGTATCCCTCGCTTTCGTTTCCGCTTTTTCAAGATATTGTAGAAAGTGTTGTCTAGCTGCCGTCAAGGTGCTTTTGGGGGGTGGCGTAGCTGGAAGCCTTCCCAACCATGTTTTAATTTGTGGCTGCAAGGCTTTTGTTATGTACGGTTAATGCAAATCAATTCTCAGCACTTTTAGAGCTCTAGTGCGACTAATAGTCTCTAGACTCTAGATGCTATTCCTCTCTGATCAAACGATGTGGAACTATTCAACTTGGATACACTGGACACTGGATGCTGAAGCTACAGCAAAGCAATTTGTGGCAAAAATTTCATGGTGATACCAGATATATACCTGACCGAGTTTTGGCACTTCGAGGAGAACAAGTCCCTTTCCCCATGGCGCGAAGAACCCTCTGGAGGGCTGCGCGCTTGTATTCGCATGCAAGATTTATGGCAAGGATCAACTCAAAACCTCACACTTCACATATTGAAAAGCATATTTTTACATGTTAAACAATGCATTGAGAACATTTGTTTCTTGTTGCCTCCCTCGCTGTCGTTGCTCCTTGTACTGCTGACTTCCAGTCGCCATGGGGCTGGTAACAGCAGCCGATTTATAATCGGTCTGGAACCTCATGTATAGATGCAGGCTACCATTCAGTTACCTAGCGGCTTGCTGCGCAAGTCTTGTCTTGGATCCCATAGTTTGTCTATCGCTCGAACCTCTTAATCGAGTGGGTGAGAATCTACTTCTGTTGTATGCTGAAGTGTCTGCTCCTGCATATCTTGAGTAT